CATTAGTGAAAGGACATACAAGAAATCAACAAAGATCAAAGAGGAAAATACATAAACAAGAAAGCAAAACAATAGAAGAAAGCTTAGGGACCTAACGATGCTATTAGGGGCATCAAAGTATTGCTGTATTAGAGGTTTTGATGTTACAAGCAATGATGCAGCTGGGAGGTTATTCGGGATATCTCTTCGTGGAACACATCCCCATGTTTTTGTTAGCTCATTTATGAGCCTTGACGAGGTCCTAGAAATATCTATGTGTAGCTTTCATAGTTCAAGCACTTGTGAGGACTTTGTGAGTCTTGTTCAATCAATGTTAAGCAAAATACAACCAAGCTGAGCCATGTGTTATAGCTACAATTGAGCCGTGATGCTAGTCAAGTCGAGTTGATTTTTTTTTTTTGGTATTTTCTTTTCATTTTATTTATTTATTTATTTTCTCAAATTATTTATTTATTTGTCTTTTTTTTTGTTGCATGATTGGATTTTAGGAAAAGTTAGAAGAAATCACAAAATAAGAAAAATGAAACATTAATAATTTTTGAAAATAAATAATAATTATCCAATAATGAAATTTTTAGAAATTTTAAATGGTGAATTTTTATAAAATTCCTATGTGATAAATTTTTTTTAAATTTGTCCCAAAAGTGAAATAATTTGGATAAAGTTTTAATAATAATAATTAATATTTATTTTTAAATAAAAAATTAGAATTTCAATAAAAGTAATTGTATTATTTTCTAAATAAAAAATTTTGGTTGAAAATATTTGACAATTATCCAAGGATGAGAATCGTAAAAATTTCGAGTGATAAATTTTTTAAAAAATCTCTAGGTGAGAAATTTATTTAAAATTATCCCGAATGGTAGAAGAATTTAAATGAAACTTAAAAAAAAATAATTGTCATATTATTTTTTTTCAAAGATAAAAAAAGAATCTAAATAAACCCAAATGATGACAAATTTAGAAATCAAAAAGAAAATTTCTAAATTGACCCAAATGGTGAAAATTTTGAAAAATAAAAATAAAAAATAAAAATAAATTTCGACGATGAAATTCTTAGTAATCGTAAATGGTTGATTATCTAATAAATTTTTAATTGATAAGATATTTCTAATTTAACCCAAATGGTGGAATAATTAGATATATTTTCAATAAAAAAATCAAAATAAAAATGATTAAACCTTTTTTCAATGACGAAGCCTCTTCAAGAAAACAAATGGGGTTCTTGAATACTCTTGAAGTGAAGAAGTATTTTAAGAAAATTTTCAGATTGATGAAAAAATCTTAAAAATTATTTTCAATATTTAAACATTAAATAAAAACCATTAGAACCAAGATACTTATTAAGATAATTCAAAATTAAATGGTACCATTTTAGGTTGGGTATTGTAGAGGTGTTATAATATTCTCCACATGTAATCAAACTCTTGAACTTAGTTCTATTTAGAAGATCATAACCTATTATTTAGGGACCTTTAGTTAAGTTTAGGAGCTCCTTAAAAGGATAGATTCATTATGTGGTCAATCACACCTAGACAAAAGATTGGTGACGACTCTTCTTGTTAAGTCTAACTATAGATTTATGAATCTATATGTTATGATAGTAGGTGAAATCAAGCATGTCTAGCATAAGAATTGATGATTTGATAAAATTTGAGTCAATGTAGAGATTGTTAGAAATAGTGACTCAAATCCCGTAAGAGATTTATTTGAGATCGGTTAGCTATTACTTAGTGGATAATAGAACTTGTAAAAAAAGAATTCTAAGAGAAAAATGATTCTTGATAGGCAAGTTTATATGCTTATAAATAGGCGAAGTCTCTACAAGCTTATATATGAAAAAAATATATAATAAAGTTGTAAAATTTTATGGGATAAACATTTTATAGGACTACTAGAGATTTACGTCTTATAGATGTGTGTATTTGAATATTTGTAAATGGACTATAAGAGATTGAGATGGTCTACATAGGTATAATACGTTGGTGCACATAGGTATATGTTTATTTAGGTTGAGAATATTCTATAGAATAGATGAGATTAAAAGAATTTTATGGGTATTGATTATGAGTGGTTGAGAGGGTCTGCATGTATTAATTATGAATGGTTGATTTGATTATATATTTGTAATTCTTTACAACTAATAGATTTTCTTTTTATTCGTGGATGTAAGTCGATTGGATCGAACTACGTTAAATTATTATCTTTTATATGATTAATTAATTATTTAATTTTACTTTTGCTAACTTGAATGGCTTGACTAATTGGGGCTATTTAGCCTAAATAGTAGTATCAAAATTATCGTGATCTCCTAACAATGGTATTAGAGCTATCGTGATTCTAACAAGGGGGTGAGTTTGATGATGTTAGAATGTTTAGGGTGAAAAAAAAGCACAAAGGCCAAAAAGTAATAAGTCTTGTTGAAGAGTTTTTTTCTACACTATAATAGTATAAAACTTTATTCCCTAATAAAGGTATTTTTAATTTTATTTATTTAAATAGGATATTTAATGACACATCATCATTTTATTTTTCTCATACCTTCACTATCACAATTTTTCATTTTTCATACATCAAAAATAAAAATAAAAATAAAAACTTTAAAATTCTTATTTTTTTAGCGATGTTAATTCAATGCTTAAGAACAAATTTATTTTTTATTTAGAAAATAAATTGAAAGTTCTTAAATCACATTTGGTGTAGAAAATGATTGATAAGATAAAATAATAATTATATTATATTATTTTAGTTTGTATCTAAAAAAAAAATGATAGAATTATAAAGATGATTAATCATTCTCTTTGTATAAGAGGATTCAATTCTCTTTAAGTGAAAAAGATTATTTTTAATTCATGAAATTTAATTTATATGTCTTATTATATCTTTAAAAATTATATCAATAATTTAAATTATATCAATAATTTAAATTATATAAATTTTGAGGAAGGATAATTTTAACCATTTAATAAATTATCTTATTCTAATTTTTGTACACACCAAATATAAAATAAGATGATATTATTTAATCTAATCATATTTATAATATCATCATATCCTATTTTATCATAATATTGTATTTGAAACAGATCCTTAACCCATTATTTCTTTTTATTTATTTATTTATTTTGCATAGGCTGTCTCGAATAGAAAAAAACTCTGCAAATTTTTTATTGTTTTGAAAACTTTTTTTGATCGCATTTTAAAGTTGAAAAATAAAGAAAAGAAGTTAATTAAAGCTAAAATAGGGGTGGAGCTTTAATGATGGATTTCATTTTGGTTGGGATTAGAGGTGGTTCTTTAACTAAACCAAATGCGGTGAAGGCCCTTCTAAGATTTTGAAAATTTTTCTTTACATACATATATTTATATATTATATATTAAATAAATTTAAATTGATCTCCCAAATTAAAGGATTAAAATATATCAAAGTTTATCTTTTTATTTTACTCACCAATCATTATTCACAAACATTTAATGTTAATTAACTTGTCCCAAATATTAAGTTACAATATTGTGAATTTAAAAAAAAACTTAATTTAACTTTTTTAATTCTAATTTACACTTTTAATTAAGTAAAAATAAATAAATTTAGACTTTTTTTTTCTTTGACCTATTTATTGTAACTTCTTTTTTATTCTAAAAATAATTTTTGTTTGCTGCTTAACTTTTTAGCCTTGTAAAAGCATATATAACAAAATTGTTAAAGGTTAATTTATTTTTATTTTTATATTATCTATTTGTGTTTGGTTTAGTTCCATATGATAACTTTTTTTCCGATACTTGATTAATTCCTATACATAACATGACTGACTTTAATAATTTTTTAAAATAACTTGATAGATTTTACTACAACTAGAGAAATAGACAACAACCAATATAACTTGATATTAAGTCTTTTTTAAAAAATAATGACTTGATAAGATTTGAGTTTTGTGGTCGAACAAAAACAATTTTGGATAGAAAATGAAAACGGTTTTTACTTGATTGATGGTAGAATTAGATTTTCAATTGGTGGGTGATCACATAAATTTCAAAGCTAAGCTAGATTAAACTTTTAAAATGAAAGATCCAATTAAGGTTATAATCATATTGATAAAAATATAATATTAATAAATTGATTTATTTGTATAAAGTTTTAAATTTAATTTATCAAAATGAATTAATAAGAAAGTTTTGTTACATCTTGGTTGTTATACATTGAAAGATAATGATAAAATATTTATTTTCCCTCTGGGACGATGTAATTATTTTTCCTAAGAGGGTAAAGAGGGATTTAACGATGGACGATGCTTTCATCTCCACCGTAAAATATCGCATCCGTTTTTGGCTCGCGGTTCGCCTCCGGAGAATTTAATTGAGGATCATCTTGGAGAAAATTTCGACGGCGAGGCAATCTCCGATTTGTCATGTCAAGAGTATGCCCGGGACGGAGCAAAGGGCTCCATCAGTGGGATCGAGGAGGACTTGGCGGACATCCGAAGGATAGCCAACGATGGAGAAAACAACGTCGGACTGGCCGGCGAGATCGTGGGGGGTCTGGGCTAGGCGAGCGCCCATGTCGACGAGGGGTTGGGCCTTGGAGAGGGTTCGGTTGAAGACGGTGAGACTGTAGCCAGCGTTGATTAAATGAGCACACATAGATCTGCCCATTACGCCAGTTCCAATCCAGCCCACCTGGGTGTTGGATGGGCCGATGCGGTCAGCAGCGGCGGATGTGGCCATGGAGCGGTGGAAGACGATAAGGTGAGGAGGAGAGGAGTTTGAGAGTGGGGATGGTAGCGAGAGAGTGAGCGGAGTATGAACGGCAGTGATCTCATTTTACTTTTATGTGAATTATCTTATTATTAGTGATTTTCGATTGTGTGGGATATGGTAATTTACTGACGTCAAAGAGTGGATATTTCTTGGTTGAAAGGAAAAAGATACTCTGTATTGGCAAAAACGACACTGTCGTTCGGCATTTAGGAAGGATATTTCAGTCACTTCAGAAACAGAAAAAAGCAGGGCGTTTTGCATTGGCGGCGTCGTTTTATGCTTCCGCAGCCTATGAAACCTAAAATGATCATTTGCCTTCAGATAAAAGAGAACCAGAGCTGGAAAACCGTTAAAGAAAGCTTGTCTAGCCATTGACGGGGATTGGATAAGGTTATTGATTTACTCGTCCAAGGCCTCTGCTCTTAATCCAGGTAGAGTATTCTATCACTGAACTGCCGTTTCAATTTCCAAACTCATCTCTTTATTTATAAAGTGAGTGGTAGTTCTTGTAATTCTATGTAAGACTGCGCACAATGTACTCTAACCTGACAAAGAGCCAAGTTTTTCCTATTGTTATTAGATTTTCTTCACAAACCAAATGTAGCCAACAGTTTCATACCTCAAAAACCCAATCTTTACCAATTGGGTCTTGTCCAAAACCCTCACTAAACCCTTCCTTAATTTGTACCACCCATAAAGCTCTCCACTTTCACCATAAGTCCTTAACAATTAGCAGTGTGGAAAAACCAGGATGAGAAGTGCTATACAGTGTTGTTTTTTGCCAAGAGCTAGAAGCTCATGGAGTTTGCATTCGAAAAGAGTTGGTGAAGAAAGAGATTTAACTAGAGCAGAAAAATCTTTACCTTGGTTATCCTCAGAGAAAGTGAATGAAAAGAAAGGGTCACATAAAGTGGAAATTGAGAAGACTAATGGTCGTTCTTCTTGGGAGGAATCGTTGGATAGATTGAAGAAAGAGAATAATCGTTCCTCTTGGGAGGAAAGACCAAAAAGGTCGGAGGTGACAGTAGGAAAAACTGGACAGTCCTCGTGGGAGGAATCTGGTGAATCCTTTTTGGGAAAAAGAGGTGCTCAGTCACTGGATATTAGACACAGGAAGGTAGGCATGATGAGGGATCATCATAATGGTAACCATGGCAGAAGGGATGAAAGCAATGAAGAAAAAGGAGTAAGAGAAGAGGATGAGGTTGTCCATGATCCAAGATGGGATAAGATTAAGAGTAGATTTAGAGAAATGGTGGATGTAGAACTTGGGTCTGAGAAACCAGAGTTTCGAAGATGGAATAAACAGGAAAGTTGGGGTAGAAAAACATGGAAAGAGGCTACTGAATCAACTTTACCTAAGATGGTTGGTGAAGGGGTTTATGGGGTGGGTCCTGTTTTGGCTGCATTGTCAGCTGGAAGAAGAGAGTTCTATGCTTTGTATGTCCAAGAAGGATTAGATTTGAGTAGTAATAATAGGAAAAAGAAAGATAAGAAAGGGTTTGAAAAAGTGTTTAGGATGGCTGAAATACTTGGGTTAAGTGTAAAAGAAGTTTCAAAGCATGATCTCAATATGGTTGTTGATAACCGCCCCCATCAGGGTTTGGTGCTAGATGCTTCTCCATTAGAGATGGTGAAAATAAAGGAATTGGATCCTGTCTCAAATGACGAAGAGAAAGGTTCTCTTTGGGTAGCTTTAGATGAGGTTACTGATCCTCAGAATTTGGGGGCAATAATTAGGTCAGCTTACTTCTTTGGAGCCTCAGGGGTGGTGCTATGTGCAAAAAATTCAGCCCCATTAAGTGGTGTTGTGAGCAAGGCAAGTGCTGGCTCACTTGAACTAATGGAGCTTAGATATTGCAAGAATATGATGCAGTTTTTAGATTCATCAGCTGAAAATGGTTGGCGGGTTCTTGGGGGTTCTGTTTCTTCTAAAGCTGTTCCCTTGAATGAACTTTTGCCAGGTGTACCAACCATCCTTGTCTTAGGCAGTGAAGGCACTGGCTTGAGGCCTTTAGTAGAGAGATCATGCACTCAGTTAGTTAGGATTCCTGGAAACATTCCTGTGGACATAGCAGCCAGAGAGCTCGATGATACTGAACCTGCAGAAGTAGATTCTGGGAACTCAGGCGAGGAGTTTCGGTCCTTTTTGGCTGTGGAGAGCTTGAATGTCAGTGTTGCAGCAGGTGTGTTTCTTCACAATTAATTGAAAAGCTTTATGGTAATTAATTTCTTTAAGATGAAGACTGAATATCAACGATATTCCATGGCTTTAATGCATTGACTTGTGTCTTGTATCTTACAATACTTAAATGATTTTTAAATAATTATCAAAATGTGGGTCTCTAGAAATTAGGCTTGAAATTCTGATCTTTTATTCTTTCAGAAAGATTTTAATAAGAAGACTTTATAATTGGTTTTATAAAATTCATTTATGATCAATAATTATGGATTATTAAATCAATTCAATAATTGATTAGTTAGACTTGTTCAATCATTTTAAATGGTCATTTATAGTTTTCAATCTAATGTAAGTAAAATATTGTTAGTCATATAAGAGTTGTAATAATCTTTTTGATGCATAGAAGTTTCAAAAAAATTGCATTGTTCAACATTGTTCTAATTGGTGAAAAACAAATTTGTGTAAATTAAACCTTGTATGAATCTGAGATGCTTGACTCTAGAGTATCAGTTTTAAGATGCGAGGCTTGGGCTTTCTCTAAAAACATTTGCTGGATCAGATTTTCTTTGCTTTGTTCAAGTTGCAATTCCTCAAATACTAATGTGTTGCAATGAAGCTAGCAACTTGTTGCTACCTCTTTTCTTTCTTCTTCACAAAAACGGCGGGACATATATCACCATCGTTAGCTTTACAGGCATTGATGTCTAAGAAACTTGCAATCCTGCTTAATATACTTTTGTAACACTTTTTTGTAGGTTTTGCATTAGTTATAGGTTTATAATTGCTCTTTGTTCTAAAGAGTTCATGGTATTTGTATCCATGTTGTTCATACTCTTCATTTTCCCTAATGTACTCGGATTCAACACATATCTAACATCGTAGGTACAATGGTACAGAGATTCGATCCTCTAAATATATAAAAATGGAAAATTGCTTTGGGTACATACTCAAATCTGACACTCATTAAGAGTCCCAAGTAACATAGTATTATTGTTGTGTGGCTCCCAAAAAGGAGATTGCAGCAGCCTCCATGGGTACCTTTCTATTTGCTACATCTTCACTCTATCAAATCCCTAGAGAAACCCCTTTGGCCATCACTTTGGAGATTTTCTGGAAAGATTGAATGCATCCTAAGTTAGACAAACGGAAATTACTCTTATCAAAGCGTAACATTCATCCATTTCCATTCGCATAGCTGAAGCAGGAGTTTTTGTTTTTGTTTTTTTTGTTGGAATGGCAATAACCACTATTTTTGGCAAGAGACAGTTTAAAATTAGGCCCTGGTCGTAGAGGTTGGGTTTCAATTTCAACCCTGCCACTGGGCCGAAGCCTGTTGCTCGAAGCAGGAAGGTCTGCTACTAGATACACGAAGTTGCTAAGGAGCAAACAAAGTAATGAAAAATTGAAATGCAACAAAGGATAAATCGGATCGTTCATTCATCCATTGAGATATCAATTATCGTACTACAGGATTATTCAATTGTCATCACCTCCGTTATCTGCTGCCGTGATGATGACATTTTCCCACAAATTGGCTTTTTCATTCACAGCCTGAAAATTGAAGAAAACCGTTCTTTTATTGCTACATGTGGTTTCACATGGAAAATTTGAATAAAACACCGTAGAGATCTTTTTCCTGCGGGAACCTACCTAATCCGTTAACTACACTTGGAAAGCAATGACAGATTCCGAAATTTCCTTGGCAATTTAACGGTCACTGTGGGTGTGGTTTTGTAGTCTTTTTCAAACTGCTGAATTGCTTGAAATATGATTTTGAATTGATTCTAGTTCAGATAATATCAGTGGCACAAGGGTTTGATTTCAACCTTTTCTTTACCCACTAGACTCCACAATGATGGGGCAAAAGGGTTAGTTTCTCCTTTTTAAAGCTTTTTCTCGCAATGGGAAAAGACAATAATAGAGTAAATGAGTGGAGTTTGATTGAATCAATCCCAAGATCCCAATTCTGGAAGGCACGTGAAAACATGATAGAAATGGGCTTTTGCCCGCTCAACACTTTTTGAGGTCATGTACATAAATTCCAGGACAAGATTGGGTCGGTTTCCTGAATCCCCAGAAGGGTCAGTCTTTTTTGTACTTGTGAATGTCTTTTATGAAATGGAATTCCGCTTAATTAGTCTCCTCAATTGGGATTATTACAAAGATGAATTTGCTGCATTGAAAAATGAAGGTTAAGACTTGGTTGATTGACTGAACAAGGCAAAAGACGTCCCTTCGCTCCAATGGTTTTTCCATGGTCCAGTCAGTATGGATCGGTCCCCTTCTGTAATGACTTTCCAGAAACCTCGTTTTCAATAGCTACCTCAGCTTGGTCCCTCTTGTTTCTCAAGCTTTTCTGGACATACAGTGAACTGATTTGAACTCTTTTATTAGAGAACTCTTTGTAGCTAATTGTAGTTATAGCAAACTTAATTATAAAATCAACCTTCCAATCAATTAAAAAATGTTTTTCCTTTTATAAAAGAAATGGCCACTTAAGAAAATAAAAAAAAAAATCAAACGCTGGGATCAAATTTAACTTTACTAGATTGCACTGTTCAAAAGATGTGAATAAATCATTCAGGTTTAGTCTTAAATTTTCAATCAAATTACACCAAAAATTCGAATTTGGAAAAGGCATCTTGGGTTGGAATTGAAAAGCTAACAATCAATTTTCAGGAGTCAAAACATGGACCGGTAGGTTATGAGACCAGACCATACAATCCAAAACCAAAAACATCTGGGAAAAAAATTCATGACTCAGCCAAATCCAGGATGAACTTTTTCCACTAAAAATATACGAAAGCAATGGGCCTCATGGGAGGGAAGTAGGCAAACCATGTTATGCTTTGCTAACATGGTTCTTTCGAATAAGAAAGCTGGCAGCACCACGTGGTCATATGCATTTTGATATGAAGATTTGAGGATTGATATATTTATATTATATAAAATATTAAAATTTATATATTAAAATTATATTTTATATAAAAATTATATATCATAATTTATATCAATATAAAAATATAAAATATAATTTTTTTATTTTATTAAATTTATATATAATAATTATTATAATTATAAATCATATTATTTTTATATTATATTATCATATTATATTTTAAATTATCAAATTTATACTTTAACCGTCTCGCTTGCTAATCTTCCTCTCTCTGGTATCAGTTTCTCCCTTTCCCATCTTGAAAAAACAAAAAAAAAGGCAAAGCAAGGAGAATGGGGCAAGTGACAGCTCACACGTGGGGACAAAAATAACTCTCTCGCCCAATCAGCCTGCCAATCTCTCTGAGCTTATCTTTTTTAATTTTCACTGTAATTTATTTATATAAATAACTAACGGTCTCTCCCTCTTCTCTGTGGAATTCCATTTTTGGTTTTTTTCCGATCTCTGTCTATTTTGTATATTTTTTTCCCTTAAAAAAAGGAGGGGAAGAGCGGATGTGTGTGGTCAAATCCAAATCCAAATCCAAAATTATAAAAATTACGCGGTCTCTTACTCTTGCCTTCTTCCGTCTCTCTTGCTCTCTCCCTTTTTTCTTTCTCAACAACGCACGCCCTTCATTCAACGACGGACAGAGAGCAAAGAGAGAGGGAAAAGAAAGAGAAAAAGCCTCCATTGATAAATTCTGGGGCTCTTTTCTTTTTTAATTGTTTGGTTGATTTTGTTTGGCTAGTTTGACACCCGTTTCCACCGACGAGTATTGAAAGAGGGAGGAGGAAAAGAAAATAAAATACAATAGAATGTCGGCATTGGACACTGTCGATTGGCTTCTCTTCTCTCTCAGCAGAGCTTTCTGCAGTCCTCTCGCCGTTTTTATTCAGATCCAGGTTTGTTCTTTTCTCTTTCAGATCCATTTTCTTTGTTTCTTTCCTTGCAAAGTTCATAATTAAACTTAAACAAGCCACTGTTTGGATAGATTTAGGGTATGGAAATAAGCTTAATTGTTTTCTTCTCGTTTTCAATTTTCTTTTTAATCTTTGCTTCAATTTCTTTTAAACCTTGTTTTACAATTTGCATCTTTTCTCAGAAATTAAAGGGGCATTTGGTTAGTTTCTCAGCTTCGTATCTTATTTATAATTAGCTTTTTTTAAAAAAAATTTTACTTAATATGTGACCTTAAAGATCTACCCTTCAAAGAATTTATAATTTCCTTTTTTACAGCGAAGGTGCAGGTTTTTCGTTATCACTGGATCTAGAAAGCTAAGTTTAGAACAAAAAAAGTATTTTTTTAATAAATTTATTAAAAAGAAGAGAGAAAGAATGCTGCTTTTGACATAATGGAGATTAAATGTTTGAAATTTGGTCATAAAGGTGGCTGTTATTATGATAGCCAGCAATGTATCTTGAATTGTAATGATGATTATAAAGTTTGTAGATGTAAATTCCTTAATTTTGTATTAATCGTGTAAATTGTAGGTATCTGAGTTGAGCTTTGTTTGTTATAGCATTGAAATAAAATGGAGTAGAAAGCTCCTTCTCCTAAATACCATTGTTCATTTTGGTTTACTTATTTGTTTATGTCAGTGGAGGGAAGGCTGGCATGCCAGTTAAAAGGGTTGTTTTATTGAATGGCAGACGTAGTCAGCTTCCAACTAATGGTTTATCCAAAAGAAAAGCTATTGAAACATCCTTACTTTTGTACAAGAATTACCAATTACATTTTTGGAGGAACTACAATGTTTGACTAATACTTGTTATCCGATCTGCTATGTGATATTCTTCTCATTTTGACTAATGGCTTCCTTCTTTTATCACTTTCCTATCACTCAAATTGTCGACTTTATGAAACCAGTATTTTCACGTTGATTATCTTTAATCAGTTGCCTCTATTGATCTGAATATTTTATATGTGATGTAGGGATGTGTAATCTGCTTGACTCTTGCTATTGGGTGGGCTTTTGCTGCTTATGTCTGGAACATGGTTATAGCGATGAGGGTTCAAACAGCAGGCTGTTATGACTATTCTATTTTGTCCCACGACCTAGAAACTTGCCTATTTCATCTACTT